TTGCTAGCAAGGCCTGTCTTGCGTGCATCTCCAGATGTCATCGCCGCCCCACAATCCTGATCCCCAAAGTCAGAATTCTATTCTGAATACAAACACTGACGCATGAACCATTTTGAGGCCACCCCCTGTGTGTGTCCAGCTGCTGCCGCCACCTGCTGCCGCCCCACCTGCTGTGTGTCCAGCTGCTGCCGTCCCACCTGCTGCCGCCCCATCTGCTGTGTGTCCAGCTGCTGCAGGCCCACCTGCTGCCAGTCTGTGTGCTGCCAGCCCACCTGCTGCGCCCCAGCTGCTGCATCTCCAGCTGCTGCCGCCACCTGCTGCCAGACCACCTGCTGTAGAACAACCTGCTGCCGCCCCAGCTGTTCTAGCAGTTCTTGCTGCTGAGTGTCCTGCTATGGATCCATGGACATTCTTTCCTCTTCCTCTGTCCAGGAAGAGATCATCTATTCCGGTCATGTGGATTTACCAACAGAACCATGGCCTGATTTGGAAAACCCCAGTCTCTCTATTATAATTTATCCTTTTCTCTATATATGTTTTATTATTAATGAATCAGAATTTACAGTCAGACTCTGTGTCATATTGTTTAGAATTCCTAATTCTGATTCAAATTGCAGGAGTCTTTAAATGTTCCCCTTCTTGATTTTTTCTTCCCAATGTTTTTCTGTCTAATCTATTTCCATGTGAAATTCTTTGATGTTCCCCAATAAACCTTTTTAGCATTCAAAGGCACCAAAAATTGTTCATCTCTCATCATTTCTTATTAATGAAATGGGCTATGCATATTTCTGTCTCCTTTTCTGCACAACACTGGAGCACCTATTTTCAGGAGACCATATAATTGAAAAATTACATTGCATTTTCCAATGAGATATTTACCAAAACCTGAATTCAATCCCACAGCAGAAATAGGAAAATGTCTAAAGAGAGGCATCTCTGGACCTAACACATGCAACATAAAGACTACGGATTACAAGAGGCACTTAGAAGAAAGCACTCTATAGACTACATTCCAGGAATTGCTTTAAATTAATATAAATAGAGGAAGCTCAGTATAAAGAGTAGCTCAGAGACTTGGAAATAGATAGAAGTGGTGCTGATTTCTCACTGTGCTTCATGGCGACTATGATCCTGGACACATTATTTAATCCTCTCAACCAAGGATTACTATTCTCTAAAGTAAAAATTACAATACCCATTTGTTAAGGTTGTCATAAAATTCAGTGAGATAAAGATGCCTTAAGAAAAATAAAAGCATGCCCTCTCTTACCTTCCAATAGCCTCATTTGTATTTTTGAAAATAACTATAGATTCATAGGAGTTTACAACAAAGTCCCCTGTGCCATTCCCCCAGTGGTCACATCTTATACATGTTCAACCTGTAGAGGTTGAAGTCGAACCTGAGTAATTGGCATTGGTAGAATCCACAGTACTTGTTCAGATTTTATCAGTTTATATATACTTCTGTGTATGTGTTTTGTGTTGGAAAACTTAGAAGGAATGGAATAATTCCTAGAAACATACAATATACTAGGACTGACTGGGAGGCATCAGTCTTCCTGACTTCCAGCTGTATTATAAAGCAATAATAGTTAAATCAGCTTTGTACTGGCACAAGAACAGAAGCATCGATATCTGGAATAGATCTGAGATATCAGAGATGAAATCATCAGTATATGGTAATCTAATCTTTGATAAAGCAGACAAAAATATACAATGGGGAAAAGAATCTCTCTTTAATAAGTGGTGCTGGGAACACTGGTTAGCTACCTGCAGAAGAATGAATCAGAATCCCTACCTCTCACAAAAATACACTCAAGATGGATAACAGACTGAAACCTAAGGCATGAAACCTTAGGAATCCTAGAAGAAGATGTTGAGAAAACCCTATCAGACATTGGTCTAGGCAAAGAATTCTTGAGGAAGACTCCCAAGGCAATCGCTGCAGCATCAAAAAAAACTAATGGGATCTGATCAAATAAAGAGTTTCTGCACAGCCAAGGAAATTATCATTAGTGAATAGACAACACACAGAGTGGGAGAAAATATTTGCTCCCTACATTTCTGATAAAGGCCTAATAACAAGAATCTATATAGAACTTAAAAGATTTAACAAGAAAAAATCAAACAACCCCATCAAGAAATGGGCAAAGGAAATGAACAGAAACTTCTTCTCCAAAGAAGACAGAATAATCGCCTGCAAACATATAAAAAAAATGCTCAACATCTCTAATCATCAGAGAAATGCAAATCAAAACCACAATGAGATACCACCTAACCCCAGTGAGAATGGCCTGTATCAAGAAAACCCAAAATGACAAATGCTGGTGAGGATGTGGAGAGACAGGAACACTCTTACTGCTGGTGGGACTGCAAATTAGTGCAACCTTTGTGGAAAAGAATATGGAGATACCTCAAACAGCTAGAAATAGAAATACCATTCGACCCAGCAATAGCATTGTTGGGCATCTACCCAAAAGAGCATAAGACATTCTATTACAAAAACATCTGTACCCAAATGTCTATGTCAGGTCATGGAAACAACCCAAGTGCCCGTCAACTCATGAGTGGATAATTAAAATTTGGGATATGCTCACAATGGAGTATTTCTCAATTCTAAGAAACGACAGTGAGCTAGCACCGTTTATGCTATCCTGGATTACGCTTAAGCCCATTATCCAAAGTGAGGTGACACAAGATCTAGAAAATGAGCTCCACATCTATCTACTCGCCATCAAATTGGTACTGACTGACTAAAACTATGGTGCTCAAATGGTGGTAGTGTTAACCAGGGATTTGGGGGTGGGTGGGCCCACATCTTAAGGATGTGGCGAGCATTGTGGAGGGGAAGAGAATACCTCTAACCCTTCTTACGGAGAGGCAAAGATATACAATGTAACCAAAATGTCAGAAAAACTCCATTTTTATTTGGTGGTGGGCAGGTGGGAGGAGGGAAGGGGGAAGGATGTATACTTACATAATGGGTATGGTGCACACCACCTGGGAGTTGGACATGCTTGAAGCTCTGGCACAGCTGGGGGAGGTGAGAGGTGGCAGGGCCAATATATGTAACCCTAACAATATTTGTACCCCCATAATATGATGAAATAAAAGGAGGAAAATAATAAATAAAGAAAGAAAAATAGAAAATATGAACAGACCAACAATGAGTTAGAAGATTGAAGCAGCAATAAAAAACCTCCCAACAGAGAAAAGCCCAATAGTAGATGATGTCACAGGTAAAACTACCAAACATTTACAGAAGAATTAATGTCAATTCTTATCAAACCCTTCCAGAAACATTGAAGAGGAGGCAACACTTCCGAACTCCATTTTATGATGCCAGTATTACCCTTCACCAAAGCCAGATAAGGACACTGAAAGAAAAGAAAATTACCAGTCAATATCCCTTAAGAATCCAAATGGAAAAATACTCAACAAGATCCTAGCAAATCTCATTCAACAACACATTAAAAACATCATTCACCATGATCAAATGGGATTCATCCCGGGATGCAAGGATGGTAGTTCAACATACATAAATGATACATCACATTAACACAGTGAAGTACAAAAAGCATATGATCATTTCAGTAGATGCAGAAAAAGCATTTGACAAATTTCAAAATATACTCATGATAAAAATCTCAGGGCAAATTAGGTATAGGAGGAATATATCTCAACACCATAAGGATCACATATGACAAACCCACAGCTAACATGAGACTGAATGGGGAAAAGCTGAAAGCTTTTACTTTAATATCTGGAACAAGGCAAGGATGCCTACTTTCACCATTTGTATTTAACATTGTATGGGAGGACCTAGCCAGGGCAATTAAGCAAGACAAACAGATAAAAGGCATCCAAATTGGAAAGAAGAAAAGATAAATTGTTTGCAGACAATATGATCTTATATATATAAAGCCCTAAAGACTCCATCAAGAGATAATGAGAACTAATAAATGAATTCAGTAAAGTGGCAGGATACAAAATCAACATACAAAAAACAGTGTAGTTCCCCTCTCTAATATCAAACTATCTGAAAAGGATGTCAAGAAAACCATACCATTTACAATTGTTACAGAAATAAAATACTTACAAACGAGTTCAACCAAGAAAGTTCTCTACACTGGAAACTTTAAAACATTGATGAAAGAAACTGAAGAAGATAAAAATAAATGGAAAGATACCCTGTGTTCATGAATTAGAAGAATTAATATGGTTAAACTGTCCTGACTACCCAACATAATCTAAAGATTTAATATAATCCATTTGAAAATATCCACAATATTCTTTACAAGAAAATTTTTAAAAAATCATAAAATTTATATGAAACCACAAAAGACCCCAAATAGGCAAGGCAATCTTGGGCACTAAGAATAAAGCTAGAGACATCATACTACCTGACTTCCAAATAGACAACAAAGCTATAGTAAAAAAAACAGCATGGCACTGGCTTTTATGTCAGACATAAAGATGAATGGAATAGAATAGAGACCCAGAAATAAATTCACACATTCATAGCCAATTGCTTTTCAACAAAGGGGCCGATAATGCACAATGGGGAAAGGATAGTGTCTTCAACAAATGGTGTTAGGAACACATGCAGGAGAATAAAATTGGACCCTTTTCTCCAACCATATAACAAAATCACCTCAAAATGGATTAAAGACTTAAACGTAAGACCCAAAACAACAAAACTACTGGAAGAAAACCTAGGGGAAGGGTTTCATGACATTGATCTTGGCAATGACTTTTTAAATACGATGTTGAAAACTCAGGCAACAAAAGGAGAACTAGACAAGTGGGATGACATCAAACTAAAAATCTTCTGCACAGCTAAGGAAACAATCAAGAATGAAGAGACAACCTAAAGAATGGGAAAAATATTTATCAAGTATAAATCTCATAAGGGATTAATATCCAAAATATATAAGGAACTCAAACAGCTCAATGGCAAGAAAACTAATAGTCCAATTTTAAAAATGGGTGAAACACCTAAATATATATTTATCAACATATGAATGACCAAATGGTATATGAAACAAATGCTCAAAATCACTAATCGTCAGAGAAATGGAAATCAAAACTACAAGGAGATATTACCTCATTCCTATTTGAATGTCTATTGTCAAAAAGACAAAAAATAACAAACATTGGTGAGGATGTGGGGAAAAAAGGAATGTTTACCTATAGTTGGCAGGAATGTAAACTAGTATAGTTATCAGGGAAAACAAAAGGGAAATTCTTCACAAAATTAAAAATAGAATTATCATATGGTCCTGCCATCGACTTTTGGGTACAGCATATATTGGAAGGAAATGGAAATCAGTGAAGAGATTATCTACACTCCCATGTTTATTGCAGCACTATTCAAACTAGCC